TTTTTACATGTCGATTTTCGTGTTAGAATAAAAAAAGCAAACACTCAAAATTGTGCCCTCTTCGCTGGAAATTTGTCGACGATTATGAAATAGTTGGCGTTTTTGGTAGTACATATATGTATCAATGTTTGAAGTTTATCATGTGTACATACATCTTAGACATATATACCTGGAAGGATTATAGCCTGAACGATATATAATAACATAATGTGTCTTCAACATCTATTTATCTTTGTGTGTTAATGATCTGACTAATCCGTCTATACGCTTGCGCAAAACGATAACCGCATTATTTACATCATATATAATGAATTCTTGAGTATACAACATAATACAATATAACCGAGGCATGCGTATCATAGTAAAATAGTACTAATAAGGACAGATTTATGATGAGGATAACACTCAACTACGACTCTTCCAAGTATATACATTCTAAGGCATACACATGTAACGTACATATATTGACATTCGTAATCTAGTGGCTCCTACATAAACAGAGCAAAAGTAAAAACAATTAAAATATAGGTATGTACTAGGTGCAAGTTTTATCTATCAGCAAAATTTTAGATCCAATCACGTGTCTGTGAAGTTGGCACATTCTACGAATTAAAAAAAAATACTAAGAGTTTCAATAGCACTTTTCACAGTTCTACAGTACCTGATAAAAATTAGAAAGAGTTCCGTATTCCTTATATCAAAAAATCAACTTTTAAAAAACGTCGTGCTAACTTCACGAATCTAGCACGACACCCTCCCCTCTAAAGTACCAAAACGCATTCACTAATATCATTTTTGGCGAGAGTTCCCGATAGTTCTACTCAAGTTTCACATGTATATGCAATTTCAGATCGATTACATCATTAAGAATTTTTTAACAATTTTTCATATCGACGACACTTAGTGAAAATGTGTCGTGCTGATAATTTTCAGCTGTTCTAACTATAGTTCTCGACAGTTCTGCGTACAAAATACGTACGGATCTGAACTGTTTATAAGAGTATTACTAATGCATAAAACTCGTGCAGAATTGTTGAGAACTACCTTTAGAACTGCTTAAAATCATCAGCACGACACATTTTCACCAAGTGTCGTGCTGGACACCAGAATTAAAAATTGTTTAAAAAAATACGTACGGACCGGAACTGTTTTTAAAACTATTACTAATGTATAGATCTCTTGCAGAACTCTCGAGAACTATAGTTACAACTGCTGAAAATCATCAGCACGACACATTCTCACTAAGTGTCGTCGATATAAAAAATTGTTAAAAAATTCTTAAGTAATATTATCGATCTGTAATATGATGTAATATTATCGATCTGAAATTGCATATACATGTGATACTTGAGTAGAACTATCGGGAACTCTCGCCAAAAATGATATTAGTGAATGCATTTTGGTACTTTAGAGATGGTATCGTGCTAGATTCGCGAAGTTAACACGACGTTTTTTAAAAGTTGATTTGTTGATATAAGGAATTCGGAATGCAGAACTCTTTTTATTTTTTATCAGGAACTGTAGAACTATGAAAAGTGCTGTTGGAACTCTTAGTATTTTTTTGAATTTCGTAGAATCGACGTCGTGCCAACTTCACAGACACCCCAATTACCGATGAAATAAAAGAAAGAAAAAATATTAATGTTGTACTTTTTAACACAAGGATTATGGGGCGATTGCTCCCAGAAACAATTTTAAGGTTAATAGTCGGGATAATATTACTTCATAGAAAGGGTAAATCTTAACAAAAAACGAGAGACATAATAAAAATATCGTAAAGATTCAAATGCACTATTGAATATATAAAATCGCCGATCTCTGCAAACAAATACTTGTTAATAAAATTTTAAAAATAATGTTTAAAGAAAAGCATATCAATTTGATCAATAATGCAGTAAGTATTTATTTTGAAAAAAGTATATAAATTTACGAAAATAAAAGGTGCTCCATACTATCCACTCCTACGTGCAGGAGCCACCTTGAATACCTCCAACATTATTATAGCATTTTCGAAATTTTTATCTTAAAAAGTTACACAGAATTTGTCATTAAAATATTTATCGCGAGTTTAAAGACACCCTGTATGTATGCATGTATCTATACATGTGCGCGCGTATTTCGTATCATACATATATAGATAGTTTCATATCTTATATATAGGGTGTCTCATTTTAAATAATCCACGCAAATATCTCCTCATGTAGGGATGATAGCGGAAAATGCCTCAAACAAAAGTTGTTTGGTTCAAAGGGGGACATAAGGTGGTGCCATTAACTTGACCTTGAATAGTCATTTGAAGGTTACGTGAAGGTCACCTTCAATTTTTTTAATGGAACCTTTTCAATAATTGAAACACTATTCCTGAGATCAAATCAAGTAAAAAAAGTCCTGTACTACTTTTCCCTCCGACAAACAGTTATTGAGACGTCATAAGCTAAACATTGGAAAAGTTATCAATTTTTTCTTGAATATCTCAAAAAGTATTAGGCAAATTACAAAATGTTTCAGACGAAAGTTCTCGCGAAAGTTGTTCATATTAATTAGTAGAATAAAACACCTGTGTGAACTAAGAGCACCCGACTTTAATAAAAATATTTTTTTATATGCATTCGAAAGAGCATCGATTGTACCCGTTTGTACCACCGCCGGATTCGTTTGTACCCTCAAGGGGGTGATTGTACCAAATTTTCAAAATAGGGGTAACACCCAAATTTGTCATTTTTGGAGATATTCGAGTTCTGAAATTGGGTGCTGTTTCGTAGTCGTTTGTACCCGCCTTCGCAACAGCACCCGCATTCAGAATTCGAATATCTCTAAAAATGACTAAGTTAGCTGTTACCCCTATTTTGAAAATTCGGTACAATCACCCCCTTGAGGGTACAAACGAAATGAATGGTGGCACAAACGGATACAAACGATGTTCTTTGGAATGGCACAATTAGATTTCAAGTATCTTAAAGTGGGGTGGGGGCGATTTTTTCACCCTTTCGTAACTTTCACCCCTTTGAGGTACAAACGAAATGGATGGTGGTACAAACGGGTACAAACAATGCTCTTTCGAATGTATATAAAAAAATTTGTTTATTAAAGTCGGGTGCTAAGTTCACACGGGTGAATAAAACAGTATAATAAACAATAGCGGGTTTCATTTAAAAAATTTAGGTGACCTTCACGTGACCTTGACCAAGCTTTTCAAGGTCATACTGGTATTACTGCGTAATGCGTCATTTAAAATACTGCAACTGTTGTCTAAGACTTAAAATAAAAATTTTTTTAGACCCTAACATCCTGTCTTGGCTCTTACTCCTTTATTACTTCGTATTTGTGTTTTCACATTAGAGCCTTATGAATTTCATTAATTGTTAATATACCATATTTATTAAACATATCTAAATCATTTTATCATATTATTCGTAGCCCCCGCGCTCGCGCGCGCGCGCGCGCACGCCTGCGTGCGTGATCTTGTCAAACATATACACAAGCTTTCTTAAGGTAGTTTTATCGTGACAGTACTCTAAAAAGATATACCCCTACAATCGAAAGAAAATGTTGAATATCTTCTTGGTTACTTGTGCAAATTTTTAGTTAAGACTGTCTCTACTACGCATGTACACACAGAAGAGTGACTCAACTCAATGAATGCATATTAATATAACACATGTTACCACATCTTCACAGCTTAAATTTTCGGGTTTACAACAATGCTCCAGATTAGAATTGGATCTATATTTTCAAAACTACGTGGTCAAAAATTTTGAAATTTTGTATCATATCCGTACATTAATCTTGAATATCATTATAGTTTTTTTATTAGTCCCAGTCTACAAGGGTGATTTTAAGTCCTACGCCCTAAGCAGTTGATCGATCACAGTTGAGTATTTTTTTCATTATTGCAGATTGGGACTTGATATTCTAAATGTAGTTTCGAAATTATAATTAAGACTATAACGTTAACATATTAATAATATCAAATTTTATTGCAAACATCTTGGAACGGTTAATCTATTAATAATTGCGCCAATCATATTTATCATATCTATACATGTGTAATGCACGGTCAACAAAATCTAAAAAAAATTCATTTTATGTTACACCCACGTTAAGCTAGCAGGACCAAATCAGCAACGTCAAACGCAATCTAGTAGATTATTTAGTACTTCTTTTGCACTATCCTACACCACAAATAATTTTGTCCGATACCATTTAGGAAAAAAACCGCTAATTTGATATCAAACTAATAGAACCAAATAACAGCAAAAATAAGGCAGGTATTTTACGATTAAGAGTGAATTTGTACTAGCTTGTACTACTGAAATCAAATCGAAATATTTTTATTATCCTCTTAAAACAACATATAGCATATACATATATACAGCAAAACACACACACACAAATATGTTTATATTGCCGAGAGGGAGAGAGAAAGGAGGGGGAGGAGAGAAAGGGATTGTGTGTGTGTGTGTGTGTGTGTGTGTATTGTATATAATATAAACCGTATCACTTATTTCTACTTTAGTCAATATACCCCAACTTGATTTGTACTCGAGAGCGATTCAATTATCGCTTTTCGCTTAATAGACATACATAATAGACAGACATACATACATAATAGCGTTTGGTTTATATGGGCGAGAAGGTAGTAAATCTCCTACTTAATTACTCCAAATAGATAACATTGCACAGATTGAAGAGAAAGAATATATTGGAGGGGAGACGGTGGGAAGCAGTGCGAAAAGAGTGGAGCACGCGCATCTCTCGATGCGGCACAAAGAAAGTGCACGCACGTATGCACGCACGAGGTGGAGAAGCGCGAAATTCTCGGCCACACGCACGCACGCACGCACGCACGCACGCACGCATGCAACGCCAACGCCACCGTCGTGTTTCGACGCTCATATACATACTAGTGTGTATATGTAACTACGCGAGGCACGCCAACTGTCTTGGCTGGCGACGCGCGCGCATGCAGGAAGCCATGATTGCGCGTACACTGCACTAACCTGTCGGAGGCGACTTGCTCTCCCTTGATATCCCACTTGGCGTCCCAACACCCGAAGTTGGCCGATGGTTGAGTATTTTCACTGTGCGCAGCCACACTGCAATCACCAAACTATTCACACTTGGCTTCTGTCTCTTTCTATCCTCTATCTCTCTGCGCGTCTCTCCCTCCTTTTTTCACCTTGCTCCTTGTCTCTTTCTCTTCCTTGCGCTCACGCGCTATATATCCCCTCTTTATCTCCTTTTGCTCTCTTCTTTTACGTGTCTTCCTGCGTCCCTCTTGAAAATATATTCTCGGCCCGTTGTCAATTGTACAGAAATGCGCGCGGCGGCGACGGCGTCCGTCTACCGGGTGACCGCCGCGGTCGGCACGATGTACGAGAGTCACGCGAATATACTGACCACCGGGCACACTGCGGTCCTCGTACTACCGTAAAATACCGATCGCGCACGATTCGCGGCGTACACAAAAGGAGTTTCCGTGCTTCACGTTTCACTATTCTCGACTCGATTCGCTAATGATGCACACAGATTCTCGCTACCTACGCTCCGGACTGCTGTCCCTTGCTGGAGGAAAATGGCGGCCCCCGGCCGCCCGAGTAACTCGCGCGCGCCACCCGATGCTCGTCGTCACCGGCCGAGCGCGGCCGAGTCCAGCCGAGTCCCACCGAATGCCATTGGCCGAACAATGCGACGCGTTCGATTCGCTGAATGATTCACACATAGAAACAACACATTGCTGTTAAGTACATACGTACGTATGTACGTACGTACGTACATATGTCGCTAAATAGCGGCACCTCCGCCTTGCATCATCACGCGGTGCGAATTAATGATCACCAATAAACTTTTTATCCGAGGAAAATACTTAATAGCGAATTCGGTTCCTTGCACTAGTGCACACCGAGTGCGCCCTAAGGCTCGTTTACACTCAATTCTTGTATTTAAGCATTAGTTTTAATATCTCTTCAAATACTTTTTACAGTTAGCCAGTAAAATGATCAGCATCCGTACGAATTATCGTTTTGGCCAAATAGTTTTTCAACATCTATTTAAGATGCGCACTACTGCGAGCAACCGAATTCGCTGCTAAGTTCAAAGTGTTTAAACTTTCTTTATCATTAAAATATGTGACAAAATTCTATTTATAATTCTGGGGATTTATAATTCTCATATGAAAAATAAACAGAATTCATCAAATATAATGCAAAACTATAGAATTTTGTTTCAATCCCTTCACAAATTATAGGCTCGAAAGTTATTTGCAAAAAAAAACAAAAAATCGCAATTATAAAATGTTTTTTTCAAGAATTGATTAACACTATTTAACTTATTTTTTAATTGACGTGTAACATCGATTGTTTACACCTCTAAATATATTTTAGCATTTTACTTGCACGAAAAGAAATTAAACGAATAAAAAATAAACCTTCAATGTTTTCAAAATTTACAATTTTCCATAATGCTGCTAATAATGATCGATTTACAATGTACTGTTTCAGTATGGCGTTTATTGATTTATAACATTTTTACCATTCTGAATGTTCGAAAATAATATTTAACCGCATGAAGTAAATTATGTCTGATGACAATCTTCCTTTCACGCTGTTTCTATTTCATCTAATTTAATCGTAACTTTTTTACACTTTTACAGCAAGAGCTTCAAGATCTTTGATGCATTGCTGAAGAGTCGCTTTTTCCTGCTCAGGAGTGATAGACTTCAGTACACTGTTCACGATCCATTGCACCATATGCTTCTGTGCAATTCGGCGTTCAAGACTTTGTATTTGAACTTGGTAGTCAAGACGCTTCTTCACCTGTGGACAGTAAAAAAACTGATTTGTATCATTGCTCTTTTTCATAAAGAAATTTTGTATAAAAAATAGTGCTACGATATGTTCAATAATATTAAAAAATATTTTAATTTATTTAATATAGTTGGAAAAAATTTTGTATTCTTTTCTAGTAGTAAAACAACTACATACCAGAAACTATAAAACTACTAATCTGAAACTTTTATTCAAAATTTACTGAATTTATTTCATCTATTTTTTATTTTCAGGTATATTTCTATAGATACATGTATTATTGTCATCAATAGTTTTCTTTAGTTATTCAGTATATAATATCGTAATGTTTAATATACTAATTACAAGTAAATTTATATTATTAATTATATTATAGATATATCTTTGTAAGTATTTTATATTACATTACACAAAACATACCTCTTGGTACACTTGCACCATTCGTTCTCTGTAAGTTGCTTCCAGCTGCATCTTAACATTTTCCTTCTTAATGTCCATTATCATTTTCTGACCATCCAAGCTCGCCTGCTGTTTCTTTTCAAGAGAAATAAATTCTTCGCATTCAGTCACTCTAATGTTCCTAGTCTCTTCGAGATCATTTTGGCACTTATCTACTTGTTTATCCAATATCTGAGCAAGTTTTGGGCCAAATAGTTTTACACTCGCTACACATATTACTAACAGAGATAATCCATTATAATATTCGTGCTCCATGACATAAATTTCTTTGGAAATTAGATAAGTGCTCACACTTATAGCAAATACATATGGTCCTAAAAATGAAATAACAATTAATGATAATAAAAAGATGCGATTATTTTATATGTTTGAGAATAATCTGTGATATATAAGACATGCGAGACAAGATGATTTTGTGGAAACAAGTTAAAAGTATAGAGTTTTCATATAAAATTTTCTTTTGTATGAAACAATTCGAAGAATTAAAAACTAATATATTTATCTTTTGTAAGAATCTTATATTTTTCAAGAAATATAAAATGAAAATTTCCTGAAGGTAAATATTAAATAATTTAAATAGACTAAAAAGTTTTATATAAAGCATCAATATAATAGGATCTCCATATTTGCGGATGATACGTTCCAAGGCTTACGGCGGATAGGAAAATCTTGGATAATAGTGAACCATTAAAATTACTTAAATGTGTCATTTTTAAGTAAATTGAACAAACAAAATCACTATTAAATGTAAAATATATGAAAGTTAATTAATGTCTAATTTAAAAATAAACAAACGAGAACTTAAGACATCTAAAGTACTACTTTCTTGTGTAAAGACTGGATACAAAGAACTTGCCCAGAAAAATAAAACATATTACAGCCTGTACATGTAGGCCATGATAAACTATGGATAACTGAAGCCATGGATACAGAGATCGTACTACGTTTACTTTATAAATCTTGTATTTTTTCTCATTTATTTAGATGAACGCCATAAAAAATTTAATTTCCAGTAAGAATTCATGCAAATACATTCAACTGTACAGCAAATGATTAAATGTTAATTTTAAAAGTAGATCTTATCAAATACAAAGTTTCATATAAAAATATTTCATTTTACATTATGCAAGTTACATAAGAAATAATTTATCCAGTGCAAACGTATCTATCGATACCTAAGAAATTATTTTCTGATTATAAAAATCCTACATATGCCTGTTAAGAAATCCTTCTAAATATTCAATTATTATTCATTATTAATCGCCTACCTGATGCACCAGTTTTTGGATAGAAAGCTTGAAACCATTCTTCAGGTATAAATCCATGTCTAACTGGAGATGGATCAATCAAACGTTTGGGACGAGTTGGCTCCATTGCTACTGACGAAGCACTTTGTGCTCCACGCATAGCAGTAGACAGCAACTGAGCTACAATGGAAAACAATATTATCATAAAGAATTTAAAAAATTCATTTTTAATGGATTATTATACTTTGATAACACACTTAATAAGATGGATTCAATTTTTGTATGCAAACATGTGAAACAAAGGAAGATATAAAGGGGTGCGATCCGTTTCACGCGTGATGCACATAGTGCATCATTTATCCTTGTTATTCACCAAATGTTAAATGATGCATTATGCACATTGTACGTGAAACGGAACGCACCCAAGGTAAAACTGCAGGATACAAAGAAACATCAAAACAGCGAACTTCGACTTCTGCAAATATGTCAAAGTAATAGATCATTCAAATTATCTATGAAAAAGCTTAAAATTTCATCTCTAAAGAATTGTAAGCGCAAATATTACGTAACTATATATATAATACATAGATAAAATTTATAATATATATATAAGTTTAGAAAATATTGTAAGAAACTATGAGGGTAACCGTGTGATATTACATAATAGAAAGAGTAAACTTTATAGTTAACGAAGTTGTCTATCCATCAAGTGTACTTATCGTACAACATGACACGTGAAGATGTAATGAAGAATATTACAATTAAGTTACCATTACGAAGAGCCAATCTTGACAGCATTTTACACGGAATACGTCTATCACTTGCTGTCGATACGGCCAACAACAAGGACCAATAGTACCATGTCCGACAAAATAGTAATGGCGGATTTAGACTGCACGACGAGTAGACTAAAGGCCCTTGCACAATGGCCGCGGTTGGCTGATAGCGTTTTCGATTTGCTGACTCGACCCGACTCAGGCTGGATTCACATAGAGCATAACTTTGCGTAGCGTAACCTGCGTATCACCAATCACAGGATCATTCTGATAAAACCGTTTCAATAATTCCGTTGAAATAGTTCTGTTATTGGTGATACGCAGGTTACGCTTAAGCCCGTATCAGACTACGGATTGGGATTGGGATTAGATTGAAATTTGACCAATCAGAGTAAAAGTTACTGAACTTGGGATTAGTAAACTTTATTGTGATTGGTTAAATTTCAATCTAATCCTAATCCCAATCCGTAGTCTGATACGGGCTTTTCGCTCCATGTGAATCCAGCCCGAGTCAGAAAAGTTTGATCAAAAGTAAGATTTTTGCAGAAATTGTGGTTCAAATCTTGCTTTTGATCAAACTTTTCTGACTCGGGGTCGGTCGAGTCAGGGTGCTTTCACATGGAGCGTAAGTTGCGTAGCGTAACCTGCGTATCGCCAATCACAGGACTAGTTCAACGGAATTATTGAAACGGTTCTATCAGAATGGCCCTGTGATTGGTGATACGCAGGTTACGCTACGCAAGTTACGCTCCATGTGAATGAGGGCTCAGAAAAACGAAAACGCTGAGTTCAGATTCCCCACCGGGTGAGTGATCATTGGGTGACTGGCTGAGTGAGCGGATCCAATGAAAAAGCTCCTGAGTGGCTTAGGGCAACTTTCACCAAGCTGCAGTTAAGGCGCCTACTGATGAACGCGGCAAGTGCCGCACACGGCAGCGCGCGGCATTTCAGAAAGAACTAGATTCTAGGGGCTTCTGATCCTGATGTCGCCTGCCGCGCTTGCCGCGTTTATCGCGGCACAGATTAATCTGTGATCGCGGCGTTGTCGCGTTGAAGTGAAATAATATAACCTCAATTTCTCCGTACCTCAGTTGTCAGGAGAGTCTCGTTTGAACCACGATCCATTACGGATGTTTGTTCCTTATTTGTGCATAGTTGCTAACGCAACGCTATATTATAAATAATATTGATATTATCAGAGAGAAACCTGAGAACGGCCATGCCGGTGTTTTGCTTGTTACCGTTTTCGCTCGACTGATTCCAGCGCTTTACGCTCATTTTCATTTTTGGAACTATTCCGCTACACCCATTTTCAAATACTGCCGATAAAGTCTCCACTTGGTGCGTGTCCGTGCTACGCCCATTTTTCAAGCGGGTAATGCAGTGCCCAATTTTGGTTGTATTCCGTGCTGCATGCATGAAATATCGGTAACAGGAGAGTGTTATTGATTTAATAAAAAACTTTTCACTCATCGACACGATGCGCAGCGGCGGAGTTGAATCTACGTTGATTCTGCAATGGCGCCCGATGCCTCCTCCTCCTCCACTCAGGTGTCGTTGTCTCAGCTGTCCTCCAATACACTCGCGAATTTATACTTCCGTTTGTAAAGTCACTTGTCACTCTCACTGTATCTAAATGCCACTTTTTCGGCTCTCACTGTGTCCGATTGTCACAAAGTTCGATTGTCACTGACAATGAGTTCGAGTGCCACTACGAACTGTTCGATTACATTGTCGCACTGATACCCGCACAAATCACTGACACAAATCGCGGGAATTCAACGATCGCACGATGATATCGATCATTGATTATTCACAGAGAACGATCGCGGTCTCTTCCCGCACTTGTCGCGAACGCGTATTAAGAAACATTCCGTTTGTAAAGTCACTTATCACTCTTACTGTATCCAAATGCCACTTTTTCGGCTCTCACTGTGTCCGATTGTCACAGAGTCCGATTGTCACTGAGTTCGAGTGCCACTACGAACTGTTCGATTACATCGTCGCACTGATACCCGCACAAATCACTGACACAAATCGCGGGAATTCAACGATCGCACGATGATATCGATCATTGATTATTCACAGAGAGCGATCGCGGTCTCTTCCCGCACTTGTCGCGAACGCGTATCAAGAAAGAACAATACGTATATGCGAAGCGGCGCGGGCATAATCGTTCAATTCGACTGTCGTCGCGTGAATGATCCCGCGTACGGCGCGTAAACACCTTTGCCGAAAACCGAGCACGGATTCCAAGAAATGACGTAGCGCCGTAAACACGTCGGTCAAAAACAATCTATTGTGTTTTTGCGTCGCTCGAATTCTCAACGTTCGTAGTTTTTCTCTCGGCGCGGTGACGCATGACGTTTGCGTGCCATTGTACCCGAAGGTCGCCGCGTTATCATTCGCTCGCCGAACGTCGAGTCGGCAAGCAGTGGCGAGAGTCACTCCGTGTGTGTTATTACTTTTGTGTTATTAGTTTCCAAGACTCGATCGCGATGAATATAAGGATAAAACGCTATTGATTTGTACACATCAGTAACAAGTAACGTATCTCGATTAATTATTAAGTTTCTACAACTTGTAATGAGAAACGAATTACATTTTGAGGCGACAGCTCTTTATTAACGCGTTAAATATTTCACGAGACTAATTAATCTAAATTATGAATGTAAACCGTGGTATTTTGTCGCGGTTACATCCCGTTTACGCACTGTGCTTTTAATTATCTATCAATTTCGCGTAATCCATTTTCGGGAAAAGAGAGAAATTTGTACGAACTTCAGCGATCGCGCTGTAACTTGTTCTGTCGTTCTTTGCAACTCGAACGGGCAGGAAGTAAAGAAAGTTATACTTATTGCACGTTCTTACATTATGTAAATGTAATCGAAAATGATCCCGATTAACTGTCGCAATTAATAAAAACTATTTATCGCTGGAAATTTCGCTCACATAATTAATTTTGAGGATTAGATTGAATGACAAAGATTGTAAAATATCGTTTCGTTGCGGACTAATAACTACTTCTTTACCGCAGAATATGCGTGTCCGCTGCTCCGCGGTACGAGGCAAATCCGCACACGACGAGGTGCTCCTCGCCGGGCGAACTTCCGTCCCCGACGCCGTTCCGGCTCTTCTTCTACCTAAGCAAGAGGGGAATATTCGGAAGGGTTGTCGCAAAGCCGCGTAATAAATCCGCGATCCGTCACACGTATTCCTATCCTCCATACCTGCCCTGATATCGCCGCCCCCTTTGCTATCCTTTCATTCACATGTGCTTCTTGTTTTCCGTTTCTCTGATTTATTTTGTATTATCACGTATTTTAATGAGTAGATTGTTATTAACATTTGAAGAAAAAGAATATTATTGTTTTAAAAATGTTTTAATGTGTAATTTCAAATTACATTAAGTTGTTTAAAGTTATAAAATAATAATAAACAAATTTATTTAAAATTATTTATACATTATTTCGTTACAGTTGAAAGAAGATATGAAAAATTACACACTATTTACTATGATGGGAGGACCAATTATTTTAAAAAAAGATACTATCTTGCCTCACTTATAGGAAATATAACATGTTGCAGTAGACGTACTAAAAAATAAATATATAAAATTAAAGTGTCTATTATTGTACGTAGGAAGATAGCAATTTACGACTATCAATGTTCTGAATACAACGCTGTTATAGAAATAGATATACTACATGAAAACCACATATACGCTTATATAAGCTACATTTGCACTAGGCACACATTTATACAATCATAACCACACAAATAATGTGATCCTTTAATAGGACGAAATATATATAATAATATATAATGTTAACTGTACGTATATAATATGGTATAAATATCATCACAATATACACACACCAAAAAAATATATTCATAATCGTTCTATTTTTCTTTATAATTACGTTGTATTCTATTTTTAATTATAAATTAACACTCTGAGGAACATCATTTTTTTATGTAAAATAATCTCATTTTGATGTAAATTTAAAAAGAGACAGCATTAACATTTTTAATATTATTAATATGTTTTTGTATTGTAGAAATATCTTTCTAATTTCCAACGGATACCACTTAATTACATAATACAACAGCAAAAGAATTATATAATCATAAAAAATATATAATGAATATAGATATCGAATAATTATTGAAGCTTGAATAAGACCCGTGCTGTTATGAGAGGAGTGTAAAAAACATTGCGAAAAATTAATGAGTAATATTAATAAATGAAGTTAATAATATTAGTTAATGGAACGTGTTTCTTATTTGTCGATTATTGAATAAAAACCTCTTAAAAAGATCAATATAAATCTTTTAGCTCTGCTACTATTAAGCTGATTATAATGTTATTATATTTTTATCTTAACGAGACAGCAAATTTGTAGCTTAGCCTGGTATTAATAATTAAATTAATTCACTTCATTTATCGCTTTCCTTTTTTATGGCCGCAGCAAGGCAACAAGCAAGGACGATACCGGCAATCTGAAAAAAGAAAACGTATTCTTTTAAATATCGCCACAGTATGATGAACAAATTTGCAATTTACATTTTTTGTTATAATAAAGAATTTGTATAATTTTAAAATTGAAAATTTTTGTTTATGCTTATTTTTATTGGTCTTTCTTTATTATGCTTTTACTTATAAAGCCTATTTAACTTTACCGCAATAGAGCGAACGAGGTAAAATGAGGCTATTTAATTAAAATATCTTGTAAATGAAATTTTACTCACCTCCACAAAAGCTATTCCGATACCGACACCAATCAAGACCGTAGCGCAATTATGAATTACCATTTCCAACTTGCTAAAGCATCCTTCCTTGTGTGCATAAGCTAACTGACACGTTTGCGCGATTGTAGTATTGCAACAGGACGTCGGTAATCCAATCGTTCTAAATGATCCAGGTTGAACCCAATCTTCGGGACCATCCACGCCGCAACATTGCAGCTGTCTCGTATAAACACATAAAGTAATCAATGTATTAATAAGATTTAATCAATTTAGAAAATGTTAAACAATGTAACTCTTAATTTAAATAATGAAATAACTATTTCTCGGTGCTAATTCGATTTAATTATGTAATATACATTTTACAAAACCACTTTCGTGTGAAAGTAGGATAAAGTAATTTAAAGTATGACATGTATATGACAGTCAAAGACTAGCCAATACGCTTGTAATACTAAAACAATTTTAATTGTCTATTTGCACGCGATGATTTGTTCAAGTAACCTAACTCATCACCATTATAGAAACCATTGTTTTCTTTGTGGCACGGAAGCTACATTATTTCATCACCTGACTTTTGTATCGACAAATCCATTAGCGTGTTACGCTCTAGATTCAGTATACTGACCTTTTTCTGCATCTCATCCAAGGCTTGCTTGTCGACCTCCGTATAATTCCTCATCGATACCTTCATATTATCCTTCAGCGCCATACTAAAATCGTTTTTAAATACTGCCGCCGCTATGCCCACCGCGAGCTCGATCACGAAGATAATCAATAATGCGGCCGCAAACTAAATTATTTTTAATATTAATATAACTAACTAAAAATTGTATAAAATTATCATTTTTAATTATTTATTGTTTTCACTATAAAAAATATATTTAAAAAGAAAACAACTTGAAGGTGAAGATGTTTGAAATTATATGTACACAAGTAATCACTGATGCCTTCCCATATGAATTTAGACACTGGTAGAACACATACATATACATTTTCCATGTATGGATATGCAAAATGTATAAATGTGTTGATATGTGCACAAATACATATGGAAAGGCATCAGTGATTCCTAGTGTACAATTTGATATGTTAGCATTCAATATGCGCAAAATGTTCAAAAAATTTCTGATCTTAATTTTAACTAGGTTTTCCCAATATTTTATTTGATAATGAGATAAATTCAAGTACACATAAAATAATCAAAGATCATGTTAACAGGGGAAACCCCTCTTGGAGGGGTTAAATTTTTTGCTGTAAACTCTAAACAGTCTAAACTATTTAATTATCCTGTTGATCTTTTAACTTACCGCAATCAACATGTTGTAATGTTCCTTTATCGCTCCGTAACACCCTAGAAAAGCTATGATGAAAACGATAGTTCCCGCAACTATAAGTACTATAGGCGGTGCCATTATCCTGCCTTCCACGAAGTGATTGAATTCGCCGACATTTGCCAATACTAACGCGCCGGCCACAATAATACCTAAGCCAGATATCTGCAAAAATCAATTGTAGCAATTGTACGTACTTTTTTTCGCCCACAAAACTCTCCTTTGCATTTTCTTTAGAATTAAAACATATATAAATTTATATATACATATATTTATTATATAATATATGTATGTATACGTATTTCTAAAAGCACATATATTTTTAACACATTGACTGCTAAGAGCTCAATCCAAAAATAAGCTCCATGGACCATGATTATTTTTTTTATATTTTAATTTCAAATTATCGTTGATATGGTATGGAATTACTAATCGATGCAGGTAGTTTTTAAAATATTTCTCTTGTTATTATCATAAATGTTATTCTTCAGCATTCATGACTGAATATACTAATAATTTCCTTCAAACTTCTTGCGAATCCGTACTACTTTTATCAAAAAGTTTCATTGTACACCACCGCCTTTTCACGAGAGTTTCTCTGAAATAAAAGGTCTGGTTTCTGTAGGGACCAACTTATCCTGAACAAGTTAAAATACGATGAAAAATACATAGTGTGTTCAAGCACTTGTAGAGCTTAGAATGAGAAAAATTCTGTCAATATTTGGTAACAAGGCTTCCTGTAAAAATATCAGGTAACCAATGATGGCATAGCAGTCAACGTGTTAATAAATAATTTCTGAAAATAGTTTTTATTAATTAATTTAAAAAAATTATATTAAGTATCACGAATAAACAAATCTTTTCGCGTGTCGTATGAGTACCCGAAAATATCTTAGGTGTCCTTAGAAAAATCAGTGAAAATCAGATATGTTCGCAAAACCTCAGAAAAATTAGAACATAAAAAATAAAAATGTTCACTATTTGAACTACTTCGGAGACACACTTGCTGTCAAGATTATTTCCGTTTTTAAAACCATTGTCGCCTTCAACTCGCTTTACTCACCGCGAAAATCAAATTAAAGATGAAGAGAATGTATTTGATGACGTTCATCCCACAGGACTCCATGATGTACCTAGCGTTAAAATTAATTAAACTTTGTTACTTTGATCTTGTTATTTCGAATCGATAATTCACGGGGTTTCAAACAATCAGACACATAGTCAACTAGCTTGTGTTCCGTGCGACAGCCGTACGGTCAATGGGAGCGATCTGGGTGGTGCTCCTTCGTTCGAGCCTACAGGGGAAATTTCGATCGAAATCCTCGGCCTCCAGGCTGCCAGCACAAAGAAGCCAGGCGAGAGTTAGGTTTAGGTCGTAGTCCTACGTTACAAATTATTAGTTGGCGGTTCTGGTCGATGGTGGTCACCAATGGTAACCATACCTGCTCATTCTTCGCCGTCCCCAGGAACTTAAAAAAGACGTAAAAGATACAATCGGTATTTGCGAATGTGTTTCCTTGTTAAAAGCAGCCTACGGTAAAACTACCCTCCGCTTCGAGCTCGGTGTTCTCTGTTCGTGACTACCCCGGATCATCGATCTGAAAGCAATCGATTCTTTCGCTTCCATCATAATATCTCCGCGCTCGTAATCAGTCGCAACTTTAGAAATTAATCGACGAGAAGGTGTCTTCTGCGAACCTGATTTTGTGGCAATCAGGTGAACTTTGCGTGTTGTCAAGACGTTAACTATTGACCCTGTTGAGTCTCCATATTTGCGTCATTGATTAAATATTAATAATCTTTCTAATAAACTTTTTAAGCGTTTTAAGATTAAAATATGATAAATTAGAATTCGTTTTTTAAGATGTCAGATTAACACAGAAGGTGTTAGCATAATAGAAAGTTTACTGTCATGTCACCATATATTGTTGACATGATATTTTCACAGGAGGGGCTTCGTCACCAAATATTAGTGACAATATTTTTCCCACTATATTGAATCATTAATACTGAAGAAACAACATTTACGAGAATAAAATACAGTAACAGTGTCGATGGATTAGTGATACTATACTGTATCACTGATAATTTAGATTCTAAATATAAAAAAAGGTAATCATGGATCCATTTTTGATTAGGCAGTCAATGTGCTAAACCGATAACATCATTTTATAAAATTGACGCTTTCATTAATATTTCGCTACGTTACGTGATTAATTTTAAAGACAATTTTTACTATCTAAAGAAATGTTTAATACTAACATTATTCGTAACATTTATTAATTTATTAACAAATAATTTATACTTTTTATTTATATTTTATTTAATATGTCCCTTTTTCATATTTATCTCACTTGGTTACTCAGTTACAATTTCATTAATATAATTTTTTTCGTACGAGTGATGCATGACTGCAGGTTACTTTACCAATTTACGGAATAGCAAAATGTTGTTCCAGTGACCACTTCAATTACCTGACTCCAAGTGTAATGATTTCGCAGTACGAGCGAAGCGTTCTCGAAGGCAATCCGCCATAATTTTATTGGAGAAGAGACAAAACGTGCGTGAGCATCACGTTAAACTATTGTCCCTCGTACAATTTAATAATATAACATTATTTACACATGTCCAATAGAACGCACAAAGTGGGTCACAGGCAACTTTGCGAGCACGCCGACGAGTTTTCGTTTTCGCGATTCGATCCGCTCGATAGGCATCTGCGTAGTACGTTTCTTCAGTATCAACTTCTATAAAAATTCGAATGGTTCGTTCCTCGCATGTAGTTGGGATTCACGTAAATCCCCGGTTTCGTGCCATGCTGTGGACACGTATGTGGGTTAATGAGAACACGGTAAATATAGTTATCGCGCTCATTCCTCAGGTAGCTGCACCTGCACGTAATACTACATGCATAATGATAACACGCTACAATATAAAGTTCAGCGCTGCACGACTGCAACATCTTGTCTACTCTCCTCGTATGTGCTCCGTGTGTTTGCTCGGTATTTACGCAATGAGTGTAATAGAGTACTTTAATATTAATCCTAATAAATAGTACAGCGTAGTAATTTAGTAATGAACAAATTTATAATTAGATTTGCGACGGATCGTAATAACAGAAGGATGATTTTTACATTAATTAAGAATTTTATTTTAACAAATATAACTTCATTACACAAGCCTTCACAGTGAAGAGACATCAGTCGAAAAAGTCGTACACAGAAAAAAAATTGCGATTTAATTAATTAACGTGTCTGCATTTAAAAAGTCGAAGAATATAATTATAAATAAAAATATACATAGATATATAGCTTAAGTTTGTCCTGCAAAAGTGCGCGTTACGAATATAAAGAAATCGTAGCATCTTACTACATTAAGGATACATAAGGATAAATAACGCAACTGACTATCCTAGCAAATAACAAATAACACTTAGAAGTTGACCAATCATATGCTTCTTAATTAACTAATTAAGTAGATGCAATATTGCAAATTATAATATAAAGTTCGCAATATCGACTGATTTCTTTCGCGAGGTCGTACCTCGATTTTACGCAATTTTTGGTTTTTCTGCTTAAACGCTCATTCTGGACCAGACCTTGCGAAAGAGATCAGTCGATATATACATACGCTTGAGGCATATATGTATAGATGCATTTCAAACAAATTATTTTACGTTCAGACTTATGGTGAATTCAATATTTCTAAATAATATAATAATAATATTGCATGTAATATTAAAATATATAAGTATGAAAAGTTTCGTTGTTTCGTTCTTTAAGTAAAGAGATTTAAGTAAACAGATCTTTCGTTGCATCAATATGACCAGGTAGTTTGACGTTTTACAGATGCTCGTACATTGTAAATGGAATTAAAATCGAAACTACTCGTCGGTTTATCCGAATGAGATTTATAATAATCGGCCGGTAAGTCATCTGAAAGTAACGATCGCTAACATAATACTATTCCGCGCCACGCTCCATAATGCTGGTTAGAAGTTTGTCAACTGCTAATATTGTTGACGAAAAATCGATGGTCGCAGCTCTCGCTGTTCGTCAGCTCGAGATGTAAACCCAGTGAGAAATGATTCGTCGATCGACGAATCATTTCTCACTGGGAATGCAAATGTAATTTACTTATCTTTGAACAAGAGACGAAATTACTTGGAGTTCTCGCGGGATCGTTAGAACTTGAGCTGCTGATAAGTTGCAATGAGGAAGAATATCACGAGGGTCGATATGCTCGGCGTAGTAAATGAACCAGAATTCCACTTGCCGTACGGCAACCTGAAAGCAACAACATTGAAGAAATCGATAATTGCATTCTTAATTGAATTGCGCAAGATTACGTAAAGTAGACGATGTTATTGCCGGCATTTCCGGGAATCGAAAAATTGATAAAGTAACGCACTTTGTGCCGCAAGTTGTGTGCGTCGCCTACCACAGATCTAATTACGTGCAAAATACACACACGCTGAGACCTGAGATTTGTATCTACATTTAAATGAAATGCATTTTACATTTCGACGCATCGCAAAAATCTGAATTTCAAATTATACATAAATCATATTACGATTGCGTTGGTGTAGTCAGAAGCAAACAAATATCGCCAGCATTTTCGAAAGCATTAATATTTATTGGTTACTCAAACAACAAATATATTGACGACGGCATACAAAAAAAAGCAAGCACAAGATGCGTTAAAAATGTCGACACGGCTTTGTGTTAAACAACGTGATACGTATAAATTCATTAAAGAATTTCTTTGAAATAATTAATATTTTAGTTCTAATAACATATGTTATAATGATTTTTCCACCATACTTGGAGAGAGGGAAAATATTTTAACAATTTTTGCAATTAATATAAGGTGCGATATTTATTTTGGTTGGATTATGGTACTTAATTATTATACGATCGTCCTGATATTACTTTTGAATAATTATTACGGAAAACAGTGACTTTTCGGGCTTCACTTGTATTTCACAAGCTCGTAAATTATCAAAGTATTATCACACCGTGCCACTTTATTAGCGTGGAAACATAGAGAACTCCGTGAAAAACGGAGTTTAACCGCGGCTCCTGTTAACTATGCAAAAGTGTATAATATGAGCGTATCGTTTCAATCTAAACGTGCGTGACTGTGAAATAATTTATAGAGGACCATTCTCATTGCGCTTAGAGCATGTGTATATTTTGTCTATATTATTATTTGTATTTTCCTTATGGTAACACAAAAAAGCGATCGGACAGAATAAATGTGAGAAAGGACATCAAGGAAACACAGAGGAACAAAACAAATTGTTAAAGTATCATCAACAATTTACATACAAAAGATAGACAGGCTACGAGTCAACAGTCAGAGAGAAAATTACATAACATTTACATACGGCACATGTCGTTGCTACTAATTCTATGTCTATTTCTCAGTTTATTACAAACGACACAATTCTCTTACAAATCACATAAAATACATATATTCGGCAAAGCATTTAATAGAGGAAGAATCGTATAGGAAGTAACACTTCAATAATATTGGGTCAAATTAAGGTGAATTTCTAATCAAATCTACGAAGTGGTATCGATCCTTTTTGTTTCCCCTCCATCGACCGTTGACATTTTCCTTCGAAGTACCTCAGATTTTTCTGTAATGTGCAGAATACAATGAGGTGCGGCTGTTTAATTTCGCTTTCGATAATTCTCGTGAACAAAACGCGAGGATTATTGATGTTGTATAAATAATATTAAAATTTGTCACTGGCGACTATACGTGACATTTTTGTTCATCAATATTAATATCGTAATTATAATAAAGTAGTTATATAACAGAGATATTTCATTATATACAATTATTAATATTATAAAGCATATAAGCGACTACACCACAAACGGCATTAAAAGATCGTTTACTAAAATACCAAACGAATATATTTTTCATTGGTATCTGTAATATTTTTATCTAACGTTTACCTGCTGCGTTTGTACAACGAAGTTGGGACGTACATGAACATTTAACGGCAAACAAGCAAGTAAAAGAAAAAAAACTTTATTCTATATTTTTTTTACTGAAAATGTGAATATTATTGGACTATGAATGATAGACGTTATATGGGAAAAACGAGGAAACTTACAAGTTATATATCCTGTGAATACAGAAAATCATATGAAAGTTTAAGCGCAACGTAAATAAAAATGAGAAAAACATATATTTCGAAAGTGACAACCTACTCAATGCCAACAACACCACAGGCCCAACGATCGCCAGCGTTTCCAGTTGACAAGGAGAGAGAGTTATTTCCTTTGCCAAGATCGTCCTCGCCGGAGTGTACAACTATGGAACGTCCCAGGATGCTGTGCGATCCTTTCAGCGAGATACCATTGTCAGTGATATTTATTACCGCTTCTCCCGCAGAATTGGCCTGGATATTTCCTAGATCGCCGACATGTCTGACAGTATCGTTCGGCGCGCCGTGATCGACCTAACGAGTTAATACTATGTAGCGGAAGTACTCGGAAAAGTAGTACAAGTCAACGGAAAAACTATCAAAGACTAAAGCAGAGAATCTAATGAGCATTTAACAGACTTTGTCGTAAAATACAAATAACAAAAGATAAAGTTTAATTTTTTAGAAGTGAAAATTTTCCGGAAGGATATAGAATTAATATAAATCAATTATTGTGCATAGCAATTGGAAGGAAGATCGGTTGCTGTAGGAGCTCACATTCTCAGGATTGAAGTGCGCTCCTGCAGATGTACAACCCATGGTTAAATCTCCCTTCTCGTGCACATGGAAACCGTGCAGCCCTTCTGTGAGTCCGTAGATCTTGCCGGTGATGGTAACGGGTCCATCCGGCGGGTTTTGAACAATCTTCAAATTACCCGTGACATTTCTCGCAGAAAATGATGTCAGACGAACAACAGCTACTAGTTCCTAACGAACCGATTCAATACGATCAGTATAATTGCGAACAATAACAGTTTGTAGTGCTTTAGAAAAACGGCAAACAGCTTTATCCAACCAAAGAAAGAATTTTTTTAAGAAGCAAATTGGATATTATTTTTTCACGAATTTAAACATTATTTTCAGATCCTTAATTTCTAATGTTACATATTCTGAGAATTAAAAATCGAGCACAAATGCTGTTAAAAGAAACGACAAAATAATTCTATTCTCGTCTTCCGAATAATATTAATTACAAGTTTCGAAATATTCTGTTGAGATCAAATATCCTCTTTGGGACAACGGTATAGCTTTAATTTGATTAAGGGATTCGTGAAAATCTTTGACTTTAAGAGCGCTCTATATATTCTGCGATTTATTCATTACATTACAATCTCTCAACACGAATATCACCTAATGGCTACTGTCCAATTTCGAACTATGTCGTATTATCAATTACAATCAACGCTCGTCATGGTAATCATTCGTTATACATTATAATGTATTGGAAAATCGATTGATGGTTTATTTATTACTGTGGAAATGGATTAATACATGCAATATTCGGATTGTCGTACGTACCTCTTCCGCGTATGTAGCTGTAACAGCAATTACAGCTGCCAATAGTAACACAGACATTCGACTCATCGTGCGTATTCGGCTGTAAACAGAATAACAGAAAACTGACACGTCGATTATATGTAATACCTTCTTACGTCTTTTCTGAAATTGTCATAATTATGTCATAATTATGATAAATGTTGCAACAGTAATTTAAAACCTTGTAGTAGAACAATACTTCCTTTTAGTCAGCGCAAAACAGTACAAGAGGTATGAAGAAACATACACTCTAAAAAGTTTACCACAATCATATACCTTCCTTATGAGGTGTATATATATTTTTTTCTAATAACAAATATAATTTTAATGAAAAATGCAGCAGTTCGTTATAACAAATATGTGATTCTAAATTTGTAAAAGAACATGTTGATGCTCAAATGATCAGAAAAATCCTACCCAGATAAACAAAATAATTGGTTATGGAATATCCCCTACGAAAAGATTGACAATTTCCGACTACGGAACGAGATCTATTTGTACCTCTGTCACTTATACAAATGTAATTTAATCGATCTAGAGGGCAGTTAGATGAACTGATTAATATTAACCGACAGTAGCCTCGCATGTAAAGGACTAATCGATAATCCGTGCGACGCAGTTTTTGAAGCGCGGCCGTCGCGCGATTTAGGAAAGCAGGCCGCTTACATAAATGACGTGGATGAAAACGAGTGCGTTGACTACGCGAAGGCAAAGTTACTTTCACGCCACCTTATATTCTGGAGGAATATTACGATCAGTCAATCATATAAAATTAGCGAGCTATTTATTTTCCCCCTATGACACGTGTGTTAGATGTACACACATGTACAATCTATTTCTTATTATTAGTCGAAGCTGTTAGATGACCTTCGTGATATACACGAACTACGCTCCAACGGCATACGTGAGTTTCTTGCTCGCGGTTAATTAGGAAGATTATGTAATTTTATGTCAAACAGAAATTGCAAATAATACGTCGAATTAATAAACATAATGTTGAATATCTCGGACAAACATGAACTTTTATGTAAACCTTGACAATATTACAATGTGCTAAAGGTAGAACATACTATTGTCGAATGTTATCCGAGATAATTACTAATTATTATAGAATTTATTATTTTTACACGTTTTCCATAAGCAGCCGACGCAATTGCAAAATCCACCAAATTATGGAAAATTATGGAAATTTATGTAAAGATATTATCGCGTGGCTGACGCAGAGTCATCGGATATTCCAGGTTCTTATCTGCACCCATGTATTTAACTTTAATATAATTTTCTTTCTTGCTGCTTTCTCGTGGATAAAGAATATTTCTATTTCTTATCTATATTCCTATTCGTTTTTTTTATGATCTTATGCCGCTCTCTTGAAATATATGTTATCTATATTAGCAAAAGTGATTATTTTTTGGTTTTGTTTCGCGAGGGAAATATACTTTTTCTTGTTAGCACGTTATAAAGTACTTGACGTTTCAAATTGTTATCGATTTGCATGTTTCTTCTCACCCAGCCTCTATAGAATACGAGCGCAAGTTTAATGGAGATTTTCTTGTCAATCTTGATATAACGTCAATAAGAACACTTTTCTTATCGTCATTATTTCGTTTGCATTTTATATAACACAAACATTCTAGAAATTGGATCAGTTTTACCGTTTTTTTTGTGTGTACTTTACCTTTCTCATTACCTTACTTTTCTTCGCTTCGGTAAGTGTACATTTATTGGAAAGGGGCTTGTCAACATTATTAGCACAAGATACTGATACTTTGCCTTTCAAGAGCGTTTCATCAAACAAAATAGGTTTCCTATCAATTTTGAAATGCATTACTTTCTTAGCTGCCATCGTTTCGAAGCCGTCGCTACAAAAAATGTGTTATTTATCTCGACTTATATATTTTTACTACAAAAATGGTCATTCCACTTCGCTGGCGCTGTGCGTGGAATGCGTGCGTGCGAATGCCAGTTGGAAAGTTCACGGTCCAAGGAGTAACAGCTCTGTCCGGTGCGAATGCTAGTCAATTTAGCAGTACGTGTCGCGGAATTTTTTCATGACCGGATACCGCGAGTGGTGGGTAAAAGCACGCCGTGAACGTGTGTGGAAAACGTGGCGAGGAGCTTCCGAAGGAAATATCGATCTATGACGAAAGGTGTTCGTCCACAACACCTGCGCGACTTCATCGATCAGTGTTATTCATGCGTTTTAGCGTAAGCACCGCGCGAATTGATGGCGCGTTTCGCGGACATCAAGCAGGTACATACACACGGCGATGTATTTCCATTTCTACCGTGGGACCGGCTTTACACGTCATGTACACTCCGACGTGTCCATCGGCCGCTTCTATATTGCGTTAGATTAATCAGGACTTATAGCGAGCGTCTTGTTATATTCCCACATTTCTCAGAATTAAACATTATAGGCTGAAAAGACTTTACATCGCAATTTCACGGTATTTACAATATATACAATCTAGCAGAGGTTTAAACGATACAGAAGGCTTGAGAATGGAATAATAGCCCTTGACTTTTGCAAGAATTCCGAATAAATTAACAATGGAAATTTACTTCCAGGAATACGAAAGTGACGATTCACTTTCATACATTGCAATTTTTATGTTTTATAATCTTATATAAGTATATATTTTCTCGCAATAAATTTAGAATAGAATATTTAGACACTACCATCCTGTCACGGCTCTGAGTCCTTTAAATTCTTTGAAACTTGTGTTTAACACATACGAGCCTTACTAATTTATTTAATTTATATATTTTATGTTCTTGTATAATGTTTATATTGTTAATAGAGAGCTGATAAAGAAATGACAACGTGCAGAACTATCTAAAGATTCACGAAGGATATATTATCTTATTTTGTTCATAACTGATCGCAAAGTTTACGATAATTAAAAATGTTACGGCTAATTAGAAGCTCATAAAGGTTTAATTTGAGGCCTTATCTCTCTTGAACATGAAACCCCAATAAACCGCGCAACTGACCACCTAATTATTGAATTTAACATTAGTGTTTCTACACCGCGTGCATAGATATCGACGTTATGGATTAACGTGTTAAGTGCTCGTCGACTATTTCTGTCAGATACGCGTCGCGGATTTAGTTGTAGTTTTCCTATTACAACTTCCTTAATACAACTATTATAGATAATAGTTGTAGATAATAACGCATTAATAGCTCTAGCCTTTACAGTAAATGCAGATAGAATCATAACTGTCGCAAAATCCTTCACCGACATTTGAGATTATTTGCGTCGCCTATCAAGTGTTCTATATATATGTAATATTAATTAGGAAATTTTACGTGGAAGACAGAAGCGAATCGGGCTGAGGACTGAATGGTTTAGCTGCACGATTAACATGCGCATGCATAAAATTTGGAAAACTTAGTGCGCGAGATAAACTTGGGAACGAGACGAAATCGGTAAAATCGCAATTTGTTGAAACCAAAAGAATCTTACATGGCGATTCGCCTCGCGTTCGCGCGATAAATTGGATTGTGCAACGGTGCATCTGTCGCGGAATAGAATTTCGAAGCGCGATAACGCGATCGGCGGCCGGGATCGACCGGGAGGGAAGCATGCACACGAAAAGTGAAAGGGACCTACCGGCGAGCGGGCACTATTTTACTGGACACTGAATGACCGAATGACTGACTGGCTGACTGAGGATGCTGGGCCCATGTTCCGCTTATATCGGCACGGTACTCCCGTGTAAATCCCCCACCCGCGAGGCAGACAAATCAGCCGCGAACAAGTATCTTGTAAATGATCATGCACCGGCGACCGGATGACCGTCAAAGATAACGGAAGATTCTGGACCCTCCGCCGGGTCCCGCGTAGCCCGGCTTCTTTCAGCCAATTAAACGGCTGCACAATCGACGATATTATACAACAACGTTAATTTTGCAACGGCATAATTATCAGCTCCAGATAGAGAGCAGCGAAATAGCGTTACAAGCTGTTACAAAATACAAAAAAAAAACTGACAGATAAATATAAGACAGTTGACGCTTTCTGGTATTCGGGACAACGTTTCTGATAAAAATCGCAATGCGTGTGCCATGGAGTGTCAATTATTGTGTCATAAAGTATCTTCAAGGTGGTATTTCGTATTTTCGTATAAAAAGATAAAAGAGATAGGAAGTTGGTATGTGTGAAATATCACGTACAAGATATGGCACACGTGATTGCTTTAATTAATAATCGCGCAAATCCGCGACGTAGATTCGCATGTGTTTATTGACTTGGGTGTTAGCAGCTTAGTTTTGATTAGAGCTGACCGTTACAAGGAAGCCAGCAATGCGCCGCACAACATACGTGCCATTTAGATTAATAGGATAATAGAGAAAAGGATGTTAGATATTCACGAACGCAACTCTTGGATCCGTTCAAGTAACCAACTGTAGTAAGTATGTCACCGACGAACCTACACAAAAGTTGTCGTGAAGGCGAAATTAGCATTATTAGCGCTACATTAACACATGCGAGTATATCGAACGTTAAACCTGCTGCTTTCGCGCGTAAAATCGATCGGGCTCGACAATGAGCGGAGGTTTCATTCATTATACGAAGTAGATATTGTCTACATAGATAAATCTATTAGAAATATTATACAAAATATTTCGGGATTGTAGATGTTGTTTTAACGTTGTCTTCCCGTTAGTAATATTTTTTAAACATCGAGTCGTGGTGGTCTTACATTAATATTGTTCTTAAATGTTGAAAAATATTGAAAATATGAATATTGAAAATTTAAATAATTTGCTTAAAAAACGGATGAAGAAGAAAGCAATGTTTTTTTTTGTAGCCGTAACACTTGTAATATTTCACTAATAAAATCACTAATCAAAATTATTTCGCAAAGACAGAGAAAATGTTCTCGAGTTCTTGCGCAAATAAGAAAAAAGGAGCTTTTTGAATAACACTTTTTTTTTATTTGAATTAACGATGTAAAGTTCTTTTTTTGCGTTCTCTTTTGCGCATTATCGCGTTTAAAGTTGGTATTATCTTAACCACTGAATATGGATAATGGACGTATGATTCATATACATACGTGTGTCACGGTCGCTCGGCTAATGCTCTACTTTGCGTAATTAAAAGGCGAAATAGTAAAAACGTGTACGTGTAGCCCTCCAGCCATAGACGCGTCTATCATTGATGTTAACTTGTGTTGAATTCAAAGCCGACACGTAAGCGATAGCATAGAGTTCGTTATTATCGTAATTATCGTGCTGAAAATGAAAGTGTGACAACACTTGCGAAGTTATTATTGGAAATAATTCACCGTCGCGTCTCTCTTTTTCTTAACGAAAACCTATCATAACTGATACAACTTCTCGCAATATCGTTGCCGTCACGATTAATCGTGCAATATAATGGCGTTGTGATGTAATCAAGCCACTTCGGAAATTATCTATTTTTTTACGCTGTTCTTTTTCAAAACTTACTCCCCGTTCTACGAATTGCGTTTTACATTCTGCGCCTTTTTCAGCATGAAATATCAGACGGAAATATTATGAGTGAAACTTCACACCATTTTATAAACGTGTGTTTCTCATATTTTTGTTATCTCGTAGAAATATATATTTTCATTTTTCCTGTCATAATTATTAGACTTTTCCAGAAGGATTTCAATTTCGAATAAAACTTTTTCAAAGTATATAATTGTAGTATTGTACTAAAACGTATTGCAGTGAATTTTGTAAAACAATAGACAGTTTAAAGTAAAAAGTAGAGATACAGGAGAGATGTCTCGAAAAGTATAGATGATAATTTTTTAGTTTTTCAATATCTCGTCTAGATGTTAAACAACCTTGCCACAGTTATAAAAAATTATTTATTAATCGTAGATTTGTAAATTTTTCGATCGTATTTTGAGAAAAACGGTTGCGTTATTGGAAATCGATCGATCTAGGAGAGAACTATCGTGACTCCGAAGAGCACAAGTTTTTATTGTCATCGTACCGGCAAAAATCCGAACAATCAAGGTGTATTTTTAAGTGAATCGAACGAGATTGATGGACGTTTATAGCGTATCTCAACGAAGTGGGGATAATTGTGCTTCGGATTGAAGTCTCCTTTGTGTGCCTGGATTCTCTTTATAAAGGAAACCGGATATTGCATTTGCAGAGCTCTGATTGGCAGTCCGGCTACGCAGTAACGTTTCGCACAATTGGAACTTTGTAATTATTATTTCCGGCCAAATGTGTATATAGACAGAAAATTTAATTAATGGTGCTTCCGCAACGTAAAAATCGGGAAATGTCGCTCATTCTGCCTAGATCTCATATTAAAGCGACCTGGAAGGGCACGAAAATATCGATGTTTCATTCATGCGCTTCTGAAGAATTGTCATTTTAATTGTAAGTTTTAATAACGACATGTAATAACGCGAAACAAACACGTAATTAAAAGATATCAAAGATTATCTTTCAAACGTCATTTTATATTTAGAGGGTACCTTACTATTTATTTCTTTACTCCTTATACTATTTTCATTACTCCACTCTTATTATTATGATTCAATCTTTTTCTTACTGTATATTCGGTACTAATTTTCATTCTTTAACATGTCGAAATTTCTTATTTATTTTTAAATTAACTTCAATTAATAGCATTGTAATATTGTCATTAAGTCGATTGTTTTAATATAACATTTCCGTGAGACAATAATTATGTTAAGAACTTTTGCCCGGTGTTAATTACGCCTATCGATTTTACATGTCTAACAATAAGAAACATTCGAAGCATTTGCTTCGATACTCGCAATTATAGGGAACTTATCCTTGAGGTATTATGATTGATGTAATATAATGTCTGGGAAATTGATCAGAAATTGCGAGCGCGTATTCATCGTTGAACGCAATCGTTCAACAATTACAACCAGTTTGATCTCGGAAATAGCGTGGCGCGAGCGCAAAGATATTCACTCTGGCCGACGTGATACATCGAAAATAAAAAGATGCGCGACTTCGTAAAACGTCGACGTCGACGTCGAATGTTAATGTGGCTGTCGCTCACAGGAACGGCGCTAGACACATTGCAGTTCAAAAAATAAGAAGAAAACGAAAAGCCCGCTCGACGCGAAGATTATGATATGATTTTTATTCCGCGGCACGGATGGTGAGCGAAATTTTCTGTCGAGAAATTTTTGACGTCTCGTTTAACAAACGTAACAGAGATTCTCCACAGTTACAGTCTAATTTTTTGAATCTCTTAAATCACAAAAATGAAACGTGTAAAAACGCGTTAAAAATATTCCGGGAAATAAATCATGTATGTACTATTATATTTATCGTACGGCTAGTACAGTAATTTCTTGTCCAGATATTTTAAATTATTTAAGAGCATTTAACTTACACTGAAAATACAACGGTAGAAAATATCTAGTAATATTGCATTTATGTTATCGCAACAAAAAGATCGATTATAAAACTAGAAGACTAACACAAAATATTTCTGAAAAGATTCGTTACAAACGTTCTGAAAAATATTAAATCCGGTATATGTAATATTGTATTAAAACGCACGAAGCCCCTTTTTATCACTGGAACGATCGTGTTACAGTGCAGTATAGTGCACAATGCCGCTTAACTATGAGTGTTTCACATAATAAATAAGTCACCAAGATAATCGCCGCGCTTTTGCACATGCGCCTGATATATTCTCTAATGCGTGACTTGTTTTACGTCTCGTAAATCCAATATACGGCAAATACAGATGATCGAATGAAATACTGGGAAACGCGATATATTGACAAATATAATTGTCTACGCACAATATGAAGAACAATGATAAAATTTAATATAAACTATTACTCAAAATTCAAACAATTTAAAGTTACTTTTATACGTAAGAAAGTATTAATTAACAGACTGAATAAAATGCAGACATGTTCACTGATCGCATTGCAAATGTAAAAAAAAACAAGACAAAAAGGTGCGGTATTTTATTCCGTTCTTTACTTGTGCGCTCATATTTTTATCTCCCGCTTCATTAAGAGACATAAGAAAAACAGCAGGTAGTCTGTTGTTGCTGATATTATCATTTTTAATTAAATTCGAAGGATATATTAAGGACATGCGATTAACATTTAATTTTTGCAGCATTGAAGTCGCACATCTATAATAGTACGCATGAATGCACGATCTAGCGATGTATTAATAATACTCGATCTCAAGGTACTTGATATTTTCACGAACTTCCGCGAAAAGTACAAATAAGCAAGCCGAAGTCTAAAGTTAACAGATGCCTCTGCATGTTCCAAAAATAATTGAGCTCGCAATTGTTGCGGAAATTTCCAAAAGTGCGCAAGTAGATATGTAATTGCGCGCTCTAATTATACCGAATCATTACTGAAACAGCATGAGTCAGCTTTTTTGCGAATGAGTCAGAGACGTTATCTATTCAAATAACATATATTTGGAAAAATGTTTCCAATTTGAAGAACACAATCAGCATTTGCATATTTCACATCTTATACATAATAAATTTTTCTTAAAATTTGTTTAGTAACGGTAGTAACTCCTTCTCGTTTCAAATTTTTGTCTTGTTTTGTACGCAGAAAACAATTTTTACCGAGCAAATAAAAGATAAGAAGAATTCAAAAAGCTGATATAGAACTGCAATTTACTCAGCGTATCATTTCCCTTATTTATTTAAAATGTCGCGACATGCAAACATGTATATAATAATCTGCAACCGTCTTTCAACTTTTTGCTTTTAATCAAATCATTGGACTAATTTAGAAAGAGCGTTCTTATCTTCCTTACCTTATGAAGACTGGCTTCCACGTGACCAAGACTCGTCTACCGCGGGCAGCTGCGAGCGCGACACTGCTTTTCCTCGATATTGCTTCACTATGTGACGCACGTTATCGACGCACACTCGCGTAGATTATGCGTCTGAAGGCGTCGAGCATCGACTGCGTTTTACAGCGAAGAAACTTGGGGAACCTAGTCCGAAACAGATACGCGAGCCGCGAGAGGACTGACGAGAGCAGAAAGTTGTTCTCTCGTCACCGGCGCCGTTATGGCGATTAAGCGACTTTAATGTCGGTTCCTTTTCAGAGATGGGCCGTTCTCGCATGTACCCGATCGGTCGTCGACCCCCTCTCAGGAATCCCCTCTCAGGTTTCTCGGTGGATTCTCTCGATCTTCTCTCTGACAACGGCGACTCGCGAGAAATATTTCACAGATATCTTCCGGTCGCGGTTTGCCAAGAAACTGCCTGGAAAAACGACTCGCGATAAGTATACGTACGTAGGTATCTTATCTCTTTCACGATACGGGAAAACGAGAAAACGCGGATTCTCACGATTCAAAGGCCAAAATATGAAAGTTGCAAAGAAATCATCATCAAGTTATTCTTTTTCAGTAAGATAGTCTGAAAAATCTTATCCTTCCATTATTTTAATTATTTCCACAGATTTCAGTTAAACATATAAATGTGTTACAATACAGCCTTGGCCCAAAAGTATTTGCCACCCCTTCAATTCTTAGAAATGTCACTTCTTTTGACTCTAATCAATTATTTTGTATATTGGTACATATTTGCACGCTAAACTGAATAAAGCATCGTATCGGAACACTCAAGGATAAGTCGCGAAACGTTTGCAGTAATAAACTTGAATTTTGCTTGCAAGTATTTAGTTCACTGCGGGCGCTCGAAGTGTGCGCATTGCTTAATAATCTTCAACTTAATCGTTATGAAAAAACTGTAAGTCATCAACTGGTATTGTTTATTTAACCTGGGTGTAAAATAATTTAAAGTTATCGAGGTTTCACGTAGGTGGCAAATATTTTGGGCCAAGGCTGTAAGTAGCGCGGGAAATATGAAGTATGAAATCTTCAATACACTAGTCAACTATGGTGAATGATTGTTTAACAAGTTAAACCGTACGAACGGAAAGAAATTGTAGCAACGTTGACGGTAGCACTGGTTGGAAGAAACTGAAACCTATGGAGAGCAATTATGACATTCGCCTTCCCTCGACATGCACGAAGACCATTCTTACATACCGGCATATACACCTTTTGTCTTATCTCCCCCCTTCTAGAACATTAGTCATTATGGCACCAAGGTTTCACAGGCCTTGTACAATGGCTTATGGACAGACTATGCTCCGATCGAATCGCGTCGCTTTTTATAGCGCTTCGCCCAGATTTTCCCACTCTCGGGAAAACGAGGTAATGTCACCCTAATTGCACTAGTAGACTTCATAAACCGAAGACGATATCGTTTCAAATATAATGACAAGTCCTCTTTTTTCTTTGTCATTTTTTTTGTAAAAAAAATCCGTCCTGTAGATCAAGATCGGTTAAAATATCTTGCAAGATTTTTTTTCTGCGTTAAAATCGATGTATTAAAAAAGGGTTCTCAAAGTTTTCGTCTGAATAGATGCAGACTCGACGCGGATTAGCGGGAGAGTTAAATCCGAGTGACAGATCAACAATTGATTCAAACGACGACGATAATGAAACGTCGTCAATGACGAACGAGATGATTGGCAAGGTTCTCTTGCGCAATAATCCCTGTCGATCAACGTGAAAACAAACCGCTGCTCCGATACCGCGACTCCTTTCATTGACACACTCCACACTCTTGTGGCGGTGCGCTGTGAAGTGGCAATGGCGTAGACGTCGGCGTGGTGAAGTTACGACGTACCTTCACGCTTCGCTGCCTTGACCCTGCGTATTTCTTCTGCTGGAAGATAGAGATTACCTTGATCGTTTCGAGGTGCGAGTCTCCAACGTTGCTGTCAATCTTTAAAATGCATATCGCGGAAGATCTTTGAAGGTAAACTTTGGCAATTAATAGCTCGACGTTGCTCGAACCGAGATAAATATCATAGAAAGTCTTTACCATCTTCTACAGAAAATTAAGAATTTACGTTTTATTATTATCGTTGAGTTCAACGTTGTAGAAAAAGTATCATTCGTGTCAGTCGTGACGCAATTGTGAATAATTGTTTTAATTTCTTACGTTATAAGTACAGAGAAACCTGCGTAAACATCTTAGAATTTATGTATTTTCGAGATTTATCGGTGAAGATATGAATTTAATGAAGACTTGCATTATTATTTTTATTAACTTTAATTGTTCAACTCATTACTGTTGCTGGCAAATTTTACTTTACCAAGTTTACTTAATTATATTATTCCAAATTAAGTTTACAACATATAGTAGCGATTGCGGTTTAATAATCGCTTTACGAAGACTGCAACCGTCGCGCTATCAAAATTAAAAAATATTCGGATAAATGCAGTTAATTTTATTAACGCTAAATAAAACAAGATTCGTTAGCATTATTTTTGGTTGAATATTTAACGTCAACTTTTTTCAAATTATTAGCAAATTACTTAACAAATTAATAGCGACGCATCGTGCTCTGTTATCAGCTGTTTGCAGTTCAAATTTTGTCAGGTGATACTCTCATTTATTAGACTTGATTTATTAGAAATCATTCATTAGAAGGTATTGCATCTGCCGAGGGTCATGTTAAAGACGCCTATTATTTCTATCCGGTCGTGCTTGACCTACACTCGGATATACCGGGTCCTACAGCCTCGTGTCTCTTCTTCTTCTTCTTCTTTTCGTCCTCCTTCTCTTGCTACCTCCCTCGCCTCGTTATCTCTCGTTGTTTTTCACGGACGAGAGAATTTTATTGTCACGCATAATCGTAAATCATCGTTTTAACGCGATTAAAAATCCGTGATGTTGCACGTCGTTCGGTGCACCACGCTGCCGTCGTTTCCTGGGATCGGATTATGGCATCTTCGGAATTGAAGAACACTCCTCGCGGATCGTTAGCACGCATCATGAATACTCGTTACCGCGAATCCGCGGCGGCGACGACATTCGGTTCGTGCATGCAAATGCGCGGATGATTGTAACTATGTAAGTAAAACTCGCATACCGTGCGTGGAATACTCGGAGAAGATGTGCAACGTGAAGCTCGCGTCTGATTTGTATGAATAATTCGCGAAACCTTCTGGCAAAAGTTTTATAAAGCGCCGATATTTGCAGCAACGGGAAATAATCGATTGATATTCATGGCGATATCGAATTCTCACGAGACTCATTAGCTTTTTAATATTGGAGTAAAGTGCCGTTAGTTAAGAATGCTAACATATTTTTATCGGTGGCGTTAATTAAATTTTCATCGGTAACGAATCCGAGTAACCTTAGCGTCTTTCTCACTGTATCAATATCGCAAAATTATTATTATTCTATAAATTATTATATACTGCATTATTTATTATTTATGATCATTTACGGATATGTCCGATCATGCACGGAAAAAACAATGTAGCTGCTGTAGCTAAAACTTAGCAAAATAGGGACAGCTAATATTTTAGTTGTGATAGCTCAATATTTTGCTACTGTGCCTATTGTATTAGGTGCGACAGCAAACGGTTTGCTGTCGTAGCAAAATATTGAGCTATCACAACTAAAAATATTAGCTGTCCCTATTTTGCTAAGTTTTAGCTACAGCAGCTACATTGTTCTTTCCGTGTGTTCTTCATCAGATATATCCATTTGTTATTATGTAATAGGATTATCCGATTAAATTTAATCGGACATTTTTCTCAGTAAAACAACGATCCTGTTACAGTGCAATTAACTTATTCTGTTATTTTTTAGAATTTCGCTTCAACTCGAAAATTCGGATCAAGTAGCACCCTCCACGATGATGAAGTTCATGCAACAGCTGTTGCTGCTCCGGCTGGCTAACCACGAAAGTTGTTCGTCCTGGTTTTCGCAGTTTTTCACGTCCGCTTTAGAGTTACTCAGATGACTGTGTCTAGATTAGCCCGCGGCATCAGCCGCCAAGCGATCCGTCAGCCCCCAGCGAGAGGTGCCCGCGGGGCACATCTCGCTTTCACTTGGCTTGGTCTCGCGCGTGGGCCACGTGCATTGGAGAACTCCGCACGCGGTGGATGTATGTCGAGTACGGCGATGCACCGAACCGATGTGCCTGAGGAAGAGGAAGAAGGAGGGACCAGGCCACGGTGTTTCGCGCACGCAATCGCCGATCGGGCCGATAGCGGTTACGCGATCGCGAGATCGCGTCTCGTTAAATCGGTACCGCTCGTCCGCGATCGAGACCCCCTGGTGTCACGGCGCCCCTCGAGATTAGCACCCAAGTACAACCTGCCTTGTCCTCGTCGTGACTCGCCGATGACGCAACGCATAAATACACGCCACGGGGAATCGAACCGGTGGCTTCTAGTCCTACCTCTGCTGCTGCTGCTGCTCTTCTTCTTCTTCTTCTTCTTCGTCTTCTTCTTCTTCTTCTCCGAGAAGAGCAGTCTTCAAAGAGCGGTGGTCCCGGAGGCAGCTCCTTGATCGGTACGGCTCCGAGATCGTTATCGTGAGAAGTGGATGAATCTCAGGCTGCCAGATCTTGTGGCAATCGAGTCGAGAAGGAGGAGGTAGTACAGCAGGGAGAAGGAGGAAGGAGAAACACACCAAGCAGATCTCGGAGACGCCGTCGGGTCCTGCCGTCAGACTCGCTTTATCCTCCGATCGACTTGGAGGACTCCTCGCGAGGACCAAATCACTGCTGAATCCTTCCGGCACACCTTCGGGACTCGTAGCTCGCGAGATGTGGCGGCTATTGATAGTCATCGGTATGATCGCGATCGCGAGGGCCGGCCCATACGACAGGACGGCGGACTCGGTGAACGACAGGACGCTGTTCATCAGGAGTCTGCCGGGTGATCCTGGGACCAGGAGCGATCTCTATGAGGTCTACATGGAACCGTATTATTTCGTACGTATTTATATATCGTTTGTTTTTTTTTATTGATGTGTGATGAATTGCTCACATGTACCGAAAATTTATAATATGACACGGTCTCTTCCGACATGACGACATACTTAGTATTACTTGAAAAGGACCCAAACTAGGGTCGAAACGTTGTAGTATCTACTTAAATAAAGCTACTAGCCAGTTGGGTTGACCATAAGTCCCTGTTAGAATTAATTAGAATAATTGAAAAACGCCCTTTTCGTATACATTTTATTTTATATGCAATAATTTTATTGGTGACGAAATTTGTCATTTTCATGTAATTACTGACAAGATTGGCATTCGATATTAATCGCAATCACTTGTCGCAATTATAATGTTTAATATAATTTACTTTCTATAAATATCGGATTGAAGCATTGTACTGTTACTGTCATCACGATAATTACGAAGAAATATTTTCAGTTTCCATTTTTGAGAAAAAAATTTTAAATAATCTTACGAATTCTTTACCACGAGTCATTTTATAAAAAAAAGTTCTAACATACGAATTTACATATCAAATTAAAATTATTGGGCTACCTACAACTTGCTAAAATTTGGCGTTCTCGTTTCTTATCTAATTTTTTGATCGAATAATTGCTGACTCTTAATTAATTTCAATCCTTTTACTTTGCACTTTCAATTGTTTCAAATGTCAATACGGTTTTTATCACGAAACCTGAAACAGATTACGTAATCTTGTGCGAAAATGTTCAGTAAACATCCTTTCACTTTTCTTTCAAACTTTAACGGGGTTACTCCTCTTACCTCGCCATTCATCGAACTTTGATTAAACTCGGTGCGTAATTTCGCTGCTCGACATGCGATTACTGTTGGATCTCAATGCTCGCGGAAATCGGTATCGTTATATTTATAGCTTTACGTTGCAAATAACAGCCGTTACAAACATTTCCGTCGAACGTTATTGAAGTAGCAATCATCTGTCATTCGACATTACTTGCAAGACGGTGAAACGATAATTGTGTACAATGCAATAATTCATTATGCCTATGGATATAGACGCACGAAGGAAAACGAGTTACATTAACTCGTTTTTATTAGTATACATTTTTTTTACAATGGCAATTTACATCGATAAATGAAGCGATATGTATTCACACATTTATTATTATACCGTTATTTACAGACCCAGATAAAAAGTCTATAAAAATCTCGGGCAATTCTTCTTATTTCCACAATGGAAATAAGATATTATTTTCGATCTCATTTAACGTCGAGACGGCGCGTACGCGTCCTTTTAAACGCTCCGCCCGCAGTATCATTCTCTTTCCTCGCATGCATCTCGTGTAAACATTTGCACGCGCGTGACTTGTTCATCCTCAGCGACGAACGTGGCGATACAATTCATCGGTTCGTCCATCAGCGCGTCTCTATCATTAGTCATTAACCACATAGTCCATCTTTAATACGCGGAAATTTGCATAATTAGCCATTAAGTTATTTAAACATCGCGAAGGACGCCGACTGGTGCGCGTCGTTATGCCACGAGGACGCTTTCACTACGAGTGCCCGCTCTTCGCCTATGCCCCGGTGCAATTCTAACGAAGCGGCGATTCACTTGGGCCGACCTTGCGCGCAGTTTCTAGCCGCTTCATCGTCGCCGTAGATTATACCCCTGGTCGCATTGGTAATTGCGGATTTTATCCGTGAACCACAACCACGCTTAAACAAAAAAGGAGGAGGGAAATAAGAGGAAATAGATAAGACTCGACGTCCGTATGCGAGTCGCGCGGGGTGAATCAAGGTGAGCGCGAGTGGCGCAGCTCTAATGCGATCCAGTTGGTACTACATGAAATTAGATAGGAAGCACACCGTTCCCGAGTGCGCTACATAGTGTATCACTCGTATATACGATTCGCGGACGCGTCATTATCAATTTCCGGCCTTCGCGTTCTCCCGCGGGACTCCACTCGCGCGGCAGCATTTACGGATTAATCGAGCTATAATCGAGCTGTAACAAATTGCTTCCGTAGATCCTCGCTCACGTAGATTTTCGTTCTGCTTTCGGAGCCGCCAGGACTCCCGATCTGAAAAAGCTGCCGAGGTGTTTGGCGAGTCTTTACAGCACTTTGATATTTCGTACGTCAATATTGTACATTGGCCAATGCGTTATTCATCCATCTCTTCGACACTCATCTATACACTTTTGTCGAATAGAGTTGACTTTCGTTGGCCTCCCTTGCCAATCCGAAATAACTGCGATTAATTTTTCACTTTGCAGGCAATCGGTCTGAAGGCCGTGGTGGAGATGAAAGCTCTCGATCAGGACGGCTCGCCGGTGGATGGAGCCCGAGGGATGCTGACGTTGGAGCAGCTGCCCGAAGGGGTCAGGGTCACGGGCACAATCACGGGGTTGAATCCGGGCTTGCACGGATTCCACGTGCACGAAAAGGGGGATTTGCGGAAGGGTTGCAATTCGGCTGGCCCGCATTTCAATCCGTACATGGTAACAACGGCATTGCAATTCTACACTGAAAAAAATTTCTGGTTGAATATGGACGAATCAGATAATTCCTTTAGGATTTACCAGAATTCCTGTAATCCTACAGAAATTCTGGTAAATCCTAAAGGAATTATCTGATTCGTCCATATTCAACCAGAAATTCTTTTCAGTGTAAATTATGCGCATTGCAATCAGTTTA